GCGGGGTACACCCTGGACAGGTCGCAAGTCCATCACAGGGACACATAGAGACAAACAACCATTCACTCTCTCACTCACACCTAGGGACAATTTAGAGTTACCAATCAGCCTAACATGCATGTTTTTTGTCTGTGGGAGGAAACCAAAGTACCTGGAGAAAACCCACGCATGCACGAAGAGAACATGCAAACTCCACCCAGAAAAGCCACCAGACCGGGATTTGAACTGGGGACCTGCTCGCTGAGAGGCAGCAGCTCTTCCAGTTGCACCACCGTGCTGGAGTCCTACATAATCAATATGTCAGGTCAAAGGTCAAAGATAATGTGGAAGTTACAAAACAAACCCTTGATTATAACACAAAAAAAACTTCTTGGATAGAAAAAAACTAATAGGATAAAATAAGGAAGTGGCAGCTATTTATATCTACAAGGGCAAAGGTCAACTTAGTGACATTTTTTTTTTTTGGTTGGTCATGTCATTATGTCATAACTATCAATATTTTACATTTTTTTCAAAGTTTTTGACAACTTGTGTCTGACGTCAACGGGCAACCTCAAACAGCAACACTTTTATTCTTGTTCTTTTTTGTTGTTGTTGTTACAGTAATTTTGACGGCTGTGACTGAGTGGTTAGAGAAGTTGTCCTCCACTGCAAGAGTTGGGGGGTCAATTCCACAAGCAGTCACATGCTGAAGTGTCCATGGGCAAGACATTGAACGCCTTATTACCTCCAATGTGTGTCCCACTGATGTATGAATGTGATAAATCACTGATTAGTCTGTGTACAGAAATAATAGAGTGCTGTATGAATGGGTAAATGAGGGCACAGATTGTGTTGTAAAGAGCTTTGAGTATCTTGATAAGATAGAAAGGTGATATAAAAGTACAGTCCATTTACCATTTACTTCTGAGACTCCCATAGAAACTGTACTGTAGCTCAGGATCTTAATAGTTCTCATCAACGCTGCTGTCAACAACCTCAGAATCAACTCTCCCCCACCACAACCGTAGATTTCCTTCAGTCTTCACGACGTGTTTTATCTGCACTGAACACACTGTTCACGCATCGTGTTTGTGTGTGAGGTAGGAATTTACAGTGTGTGGGTTGTAAGTAAGTCAAAGTGAATCGTGTCATCTCACCATATGGAGAGCGTCATGTCAAACTGCCCCCTCCTACGACAGGCAGAAAAAAGAAACACACAAGGTTCTTGTTGCTTTACAGCATTAAAAAAATAATAATCTTAAAAGGACAATCGGAGTGTGAAGATGTCTCTGTTTTATTTATATATAGTCATGTTTCATCCGGCTTTTGATTGGCGGAAAATATTTTACATCAAAGTCCAAAAAGCCCCCAAAGGAAATCAGAAAATAGTGCCTTTATTTCTGAAGCTGCAGAGCTGTTCACACCCTAAAACTCATCCTGATGACACGACGTGTGTAATGTTGTGATGAATCATGAAAGACACCGAGAGAAAACGGGAAGCAAACAGGATACTCAACCGAAGAGACTCTCGAACAAAACATTGCACTTAACAGTGTTAAAAACTGTTATTGTCTAACGCCATGAAAGAAGGGTGACCATGTAGCTGTGTCTGTGTGTTTGTCTCACTGTTAACAAAAATAACTACTAACCAAGTGAACTTTATTTTAATAACATTAGAAAGTAACATGTTGACGTTCTTAGCTTTTAAATTACCATTGTTGCTACTTTTAGCTGTTTTTAGCTTTCGGTTAGTCTTTAAAACAGAAAGTAACCATTGGATGCACATGGGGTGATGCAGAGGTTAGAGAAGGTGGGCCTGTGATCCACAGGAAGGTTGCTGGTTCAACTCCCCAGACCAACAGCATCAAAATGTGAGTGGGAAAGGTGAAACACCCTCACCTGCCTCCACCCTGATTTGCCCCTCTCTGGGCCCTTGAGCAAGGCCCTCAACCCCCACCATCTGATCCCCTGGTCGCCCTAGATGGCAGCCCCCTGCTCCACACAGACGGCTGTGGTAGCTCGGTGGTCTGTGGTTGTGTCAGGAAGAGCATTCGGTGTACAACAGTCCCTCGCTACTTTGTGGTTTGACTTTCGCGGACTCGCTCTTTCATGGTTTTTCAACGTAAGATTCTACACGACACATGACTTTCAACTTTAATATTACTCAAGGTGATTGGGACAGTACGGGATAAAAAGTTAACAAAAAGAAAAAAAAAATACTTTGGACAGGCGCCGCCACTTTGTAGTTTTCTTTCAATAAACCTATACTGGAACGCCAGTCAAAAGAACTACACTACCCAGAAGCCAGCAGTGCTTCCAGCTTCTGCTTTCTGCAGAAATGGAGGGAAAGTTTTGCAACACAAAGTCAGAAGTAACGATTTATCTATGAAGCTCACAGAACTGGCAGGAAAGTCACAGATAATCCTGAAGCTCAATTATTCACGTGCACATCAACCTGGACTAGAGTTGCATTCAGGCCCCAAAAATCTGTTCTTACCCAGTCCCAGCCCGCAGTCATAATTTCCTAACCCCACCCGACCCGATGAATTAACAGTAATAACAGATTCGAACCCGGGAAAAAAAAAAACATTTTAAATTAGATAACTGTCGGGGACGCGCAGCTGAATAAACGGGGCAGAAGATTCGGAGCTGAGGTGTGTTTGACATTTCATGGCCGTAAAAGAGCATTTAAAAGCCATTTCTGCCTACATTCTTCTGAATTACTGAGACACGCTCTGACACATGTGTCTACACCTGTCGGGGACGCGGCGCTGAATGAACGTCCATTTGGGCGATGGATCACTTCCTGGCAGTACAGACCCATCTGAAGCTTAACTGAACTTTTGACCTCTTTCAAGGCCGGTCAGCTCCCGGTGAAAGGGCCACGTGTGGCTGGTGGAAGTATGGCAGGCCATGTTATCATATAATTGGATCGCGGCTGATCTCGACCTAATTAAAAGTCCGAGACTGACCCAGCCCGCCCATTAATCATATTATAATGGCTCGGCCCTAATCCGGGTCAGTCCGGGACGGGTTTCGGGTTAGAAATGACAACTCTAACCTGGACGGGGCTGTGGGCTTCATCGCTGCAGGGTAGGTCTGCAGAACCAGAACCGAGCCCAACTGGAACTGAGCTGCTGGTCTGCAGAGCTGGTGAGCGCCCATAATTTTTTTTTATATGTATGTATGTTCTTAAAATTATGTAGAATTAAGAGTTTAGAACATTGCACCAGTGTGAGGGTTTATAAAGCCTTAATAAATATCTAAAAACTAAAATAAATATAGCGTTCCTACTTGGTGGTTTCTCACCAATATCACGTGGGAGTCTGGAACGTAACTCCCGTGATAAGTGAGGGACTCCTGTAAAAACAATCGCTAAGTCTTCATGTGAGTTAGTTCACTGTGGCAACCCCTGAAGAAGGGAGCAGCTGAAACAAATCAGTGGATGCACATCACTTCATTAACTTTTGGAGTCAGGACTTCTATTAAACATTAAAAAAAAGCACAAAAACGGATCAGTTTATGTTGCAAACACTGAGCTAAACTTTGGTGTAGTTGTAGCTGAGGGTCATACCCAGCACTTACTTTAAGCACCAACACAAGAGCTTTGAAACTTCAGCATGAAAGGCAGTGACTGCACATGTACTGCATACATGTGCAATCACTGCACGTTGCTGCTGCGCCAGCAACCGCCAGAACAAAGCAAACGATAAAACGTCTCGCCGAAGACGTGTTTGCAGATGTGCCGCACGTGAGAAAGCCTTGAAAGCGGTGGAACAGGTGAGCTGTAGCGAGGGCCGTGGTGACAGTAGCAGTCAACACAACACATATGTCAATCGAACAGCATGAACCTCAACGTTACTTAAAATAGGCCACGCACGATGCATCAGTTTGAAAAATGAGACTTGGTCGAAGAAAAGCAATACGCCTAGAGGGACAGAAAAAAAAACTAACAAAGCAAAAGTATACAAAAAAAAAAGAAGAAGAAAAAAAAACAGAAAAGAAGGGAGAAACTGCAGAAAGAGAAAAGGAAGTGTCAGCTGTTGGTTGATAACTTCAACAGGGAGTGTCCCTGCACACCACTCGCTCTCTCTGTATACTTCTTCCCCATGGTATCTTCATTTCCTCTTCACTATAGCTTGCTTTAAAAGCAATACAAGTGACACTTGACAGCAGGCAAGCGACTACGAGAGATGAGGGCGGACTCAAATCTGAACTCTTAGAGGACGCAGCTCATTCAGGAGTTAACCATCTACAAACAGTCCCAGTGGAAGAGTTTTCTCTTTGGACCGCAAAGGCTGAAAATGTGTTAGGGGTGCAGGATTACACCGAGCTTCAGAGGACTGAGAACAACCTCGTGCTGCTGGATGGTTGAGCTGTGGAGGAACGTTTAAAATCCAAGGTAACCTTCCTTAAAAAAAAAGAAGTGAACAAGATAAATACATCTTTTTACGGTTCATTGATGCAGCTCTTCTTGCTGAAACAGGGTATGTAGTAATAACTTTGTTTCTCAGAACTGGGTTGCGTTGCTCCTCTAAACGGAGCAAACTACAAGGAGTGTGGAACTCCGTTACCAAAAGGAGGCAAAATTTAAAAACTGTGTCCGAGCCACGGACCACTTTCAGCTGATACATTAACTGGAGTCAGATACCAGATATCGCTTCATGGTTGCAGCTTCATCAACAAGAGTTTGATCTGTCTCACTTGATGTTCTGCTGCTCTTTCCACATCAGAATCAATAATGATAGAATCAGCCTTCTTCAGCTGGCAAGAGAAGTCTATACTAAATGATGCATTTATCTTTGTTTTTTGTTTTTTTAAGTAGAAAAGATACAATATTTTACATTTAAATTATCTTGAGTTTGACATAGCTGTTCGGTTTCTATCAACTTTATCCCTCTTTTTAAAAAAATTTCCTGTTTGTGTGCTTTACTTAACCATAAACTTTTCTTTTTCAGGATCTCGTGTCTGCTTCACGTTCCATTCGTCCTAACATCGCCAGTGGACTGTGACTCAGTGGGATGTCAGAGGGAGGTACTGGTGCCCCACCTCAGGTGTTTGTGGTGGACAGCCAGGCCAGCTACATGCCCAGTGACAAGAAATCAAAGTGGACCCAAGGAGGCATGAAGATTCTCCTCCTGCTGCTGGTGTTGTGTGTTCTGGGACTGGTGGTGGAGGGATGTTTGATCTACAAAGTTTACCAAAAAGCTGATGTAAGGATGTTTAACTGTGCGTGAGGGGGGGTGTTGGGGTGTCTGCTTGAGTGAAAGAAGACCGTAGAGTTTAAAGTGGCTGGAAATTCCTTTGCTCAGTAGTTTCCATATTCTCCTACGTCATACTAAGATGCTCTGGTGAAGTTTCTTCACGGGTCATCATTTACTCATGTGTCAAGTGATTGCTGTCTGTACTTGTACTTCCCCATTCTCGCTCATTTAAGTGCAAACGCACAATATTGAGTGCACATTTAGTTTCGTCATCTTGCTTGTTACAAACTGCATGTCACACTCTCTGCACCTCTGCTCTAAATTCATTTTGTTATCATTTAGAAGCTTAAAGCAAAAAAAAAAAAAAAAAAAGTCTGAACTAGCTACCATTTTCCAGCTAAATGACAATTTTTACACTTAACATGTCGAAATAATGCAGTGGTTCGCAAACTTTTTGGGTTCAGGGACCCCCCTCATAACTCTCATGTTTATTAAGTAATTATTTTCCTTTTGTCTCTTTAATGAAATGGAAATATCTGTGCAACTTAAATATTTAAGCCCCGTTCTTTAATAGTGTTAATACATTTTTCATACTTTTAAACATGGGGTATTTTTCATTCAAGATTCACTTAATTAACAAAAATTTAATTTCAACTTCCGAAAATTACAATTTTGAGAAAACTAACAGCATCAAAAACCGTTTTAAAACTTTTACCTATTCACGTAATGAGCTTGAATGTATTGTCACTTCGAATTATTACATCAAACTGAACAGAACCGTAACAGCAGTAGTCGTACCAAGTAGGGCTTCATTTGTAAACTGGTTGATGCTAGAATGCAAAAAGCAGGTGTGGGTCTGGGGGGCAGGGGTCCTCCCCCAGAAAATTTTGAATAAAGTAGATGCAATTTCCTGCATTTTGGTGTATTTTGATGGGTAAAAAAAAAAAAAATAAATGGGGCTTGCAAACCCCTGGGGGTCTGGGAACCCCAGTTTGAGAACCACTGGGTTACAGGACACTTTAATGCTTCCTCCTTTCAGTCACCAGTTTACTCACACTCTTTGTGCCTGCCTTCTTTCCTTTCAGGCACTTTCTCTTAGGCCTCTATGCCACAACTCGTCCACTCCGTCCGAGCGGCAGGTAACATCCGTCATCATATGTTGAGTCGCATCTTCGTTAATCAAAATGCAGCTTTTAACCGGCTGTTTTTAATCATTTCAGGACGGCACCATTTTAAGTCAAAAAGGACCTAAAGGTAGGAGTTTGTTGGTTTTCGCCCTGTGAGTTCCCAGATAAGTGGCTCCGTTGTAAGGAAAACGCGTTGTTTAGACTGATTTGTTTCATCCGACTTTCTTGTCTTGAACAGAAACCAATGAAATTCCCACACTGGGACCAAATGTACACCGTAAGCCTTTTGCTCATTTACAGGGTAAGAGCTCTCCCATGCGCACGACCCTTTCTTCGAAATCAGCTACATTTTACGGCGTTTTCATTTTTGTAGTCCAATTTAATGTTTGCCACAGGTTTCAGTGATCCCAAAACGTGGGCGGATGATGTGGTGCAATGGGAGAAGCTGGCTGACACCGAGATCAACAGAATGAAATATGAGAACGGTCGACTGACCATCGAGGAGGAAGGAATCTACTACCTGTACTCCAAGTTGGAATTCAACGCTGCAAAGAAGTGTGACGTCATCTCCCACAGTATGATGAAGAAGACCGACGCCTATGGCCACCCCTTCAAACTCCTCAAGTCAAAAAGGTAGGTCATTGCAATCATTTCCCATTTCTATATATTTACTTGTCTTTCAGCTTCAGCTCTGAGTGGCTTTTTGTTTTGTGATGTTTCTTCCAGTAATCGGTGCTTTCACTTAAAATCTCCTAGCGAGAACACCTCAGACGTGGGGGAGGACCTGAAGAACAGCTTCCTGGGAGGAATTTACCATCTGCAGAAGGGCGACCAAATTTATGTGACGCTGAGCAAAAAGCTCAACCTAAACCCTGGGTCTTATGAAAACTTCGTAGGGGCCTTTATGGTATCTCAGTAGACAAGTATGGAGCCTTATTTGTACCAGTCCAATCTGTGTTTTTGTACACAGGAGACGTGATCTAATATAGACTGCATTTAATGTAAATAATTCACACGGAGGAACAAACTGCAAAGTTTTCATTTGAAAGTATCTGATATTCAGAATAAATAACTTGTATTTTATTACATAATGTATTGTTTGAATAAAAATATATTTGCTGTAAAACAATCAAACAGAAACAAAGGTGGCCTTCAGTTACAGACAACATGGAGAGGTAAGATATTTTGCTGAGGTTGGAAGCAGCTTGGCTACCTTCAGCAGACTGATTAACCACAATGCACTGCTGCAGGTTCACAGATACGCAGCCAAGTCAAACGTCCCGCAGGCAGTCTGTGTAAGGGTGTGTGAAGAGCAGGATGTGGTTGAATAAGGATGCACTGGGGGGGGGGGTGCACTTGGCTGCTGACTCAGCACTTTGCACAAGACGGTTTCAGAAACATTTCGCTGTTTCAAATAGGAAAAGAGTAAACAAAAATTACAGAAGTAGTGAAATGACAAATCAAAGAAGTTGGTAAAAAAAAAAAGGGGGGGTTTGTCAGACAGTAAGGGAGTCTGACAGGAAATATAAATGAAAGTTGACTCTAGTTTAAAAAGGCCAAACAAGAGAGACGACTTCTGTGCAAGCAGCATCGTTTTTACATGATGTCGACTGCGCTGTCTGATAAATCAGACAAAAACACACCAACTCTTGAAAAAACGAACGAGTGAGCAGAGCAGGATGTGCACAGGTAGAGAGTCAGGTAACCCTGTCGCCACTGAAACACGACTGAGTGGAACGACTGACCTCAGTGGGTTTAGATAATGTGGGTCACTTCCTGCTGCGAGCGACAACAACAAACATCTTTGCACCTCGGTGAAACAGACGCACCAGGATGCTCGTGCAGACATAAACGCTCTGGTCTGAGTCTGAAATCATGAATTTCAATTTGGTCCTTTTATTATAGTGTGAACGCTTCTGAAGCATTCTCTCTATTGTGATCCATTTTTCTTCTGTACGTTTTTCAGCATCTTTCACGTTCCACAATTTTTGTGCTTTTTCAGCAACTCGTAAATCAAGACGTTCAGCTCTTTCAGCACAATCCTGCTATGACTTGTGGTACTGGTGCAACTTTAGCTTTTTGAAATATTTAGCCTTTTCTGCCACTTTTTTCCTCATAGAAAATGAATTGAGCTCATTTTACATCCTTCGAATTTTTAGATGTGTTTACAACCTTTTACTGCTCCTTTCACATTTTGTTTTGATTCAGCGTCTTTCAGCTTCCATGTGCAAATTAAACCTTTTTTCAGCTGCTTTCAGCTACTGTCAGCTGCTTGTTTATTTAGCTGTTCTGGGGTTGTTTCTGCTAACTACAACATTTTTGTGCTTCTTCTAACTTCTTTCTGCTAATACCAGCTTGTTATGCTCCTTTCAGATTATTTATGCAAGTTTCAGCTTTTTCTGCTATTTCAGCTACTATTTACTTGGTTTTATGCTAATTTTAGCTTTTTGGCTAATTCCACATTTTTTTGCACTCATTTCTACTTTTTTCAACCTAATTCAGGAAAAATGTGCTCTCTTCTCCTTTCTGGTAACTTTAGCTTCTTTCTGCCTTTTTAGCTACTTTGCAGCAGTTTTTTTTTTTCCAATTTCAACACTTTTGTGTTCATTTCTGCTTTTTTCAGCCTAATATGGCAAATATGTGTCCTTTCTGCTTTCTTCTGCTAATTTAAGCTTGTTCTAAATTTTTAGTTAGCTTTTTAGCATTTCTTAACTACTTTCAGCTACTTTCAGATAAATTCAAGTTTTTCATGGTAATTTTTAACTACTTTCAGTCTAATTAACTACTTTATGCTAATTCCAGCTCATTATGCTTCTTTCAGCTTTTTTCTAATAGTTTCAGCTTTTTCTGCTCTTTCAGCTACAATTTTGCTCTTTTGAAGCTGATTCCACATTTTAAGCTCATTTCAGCTTTTCATGCTCCCTTCTGGTAGTTTAAGCTTTTTTTTCTGCCTTTTCAGCTACTTTTCAGCTTTTTTTTTGTTGTTGTTGTTGCTAATTTAATCTATTTTAAGCTAATGTCCTAATTTTTGTGCTTATTTCTGCTTATTTATACCTAATTCTGCAAATATGTGTTCTTTCTGCTTTTAATTGCCTTGTTCTTCCATTTCAGCAACATTTCAGAATGTTTTTAGCTAATTTCAGTTGATTTTCAGCAAATTATTCAGCAATACGCATTCACACTGCATTTTCACAGGAATACAGTTTCTTTTGTTATTTTTATTATTATTATTATTAAATATTATTACCATGTTGAAGCTTAACGGGTGTTCTTTGCTGCATTTAAAATTAACTAAGGAGCTCGATCCTTAGTTTTGTGTCTTCAGTGGTTTGTGTTTACATATGGCTAAAATGCAAATTATTTTAAGCTGCAAGTTTGCAATCAAAATTGTAAATTTCATTAACAGGTTTTAGCTTTTGGTACTTACAGGTATGTCAGACATTTAGCTGATTTTCATCAACTTTACTTAATCTTGCAAACACAAAATGACTCTAGCTTTGTGAATTTGACTAAACAGCTAAAATTTGTCGTTGTTTAACATGGAAACAAACTTTCGTGGAGCTTTCCCGGCTGCTTGTAAGAAATCCATTCTGAGCGCTGATGTTGCAGCTTAGAGGCCAGGTGTTGTACCTGCCAACAGTTTCACACTCAAAGCAACGAGCCAAGTCAAACAATGATAAAGATCAGTTAAGTAAACATGGCCACATATTGTATTTCTAGGAACCAGGGACATATTTAATCTCAGTGCTTCTCAACCAAAAGATCTCACTTTCTCTATCACAGAGAACTTTCAGGGCGTGAAACGTCAAAAGTATTGACCACAAACATCAAAGTTTTCTGTCTAAATCGAACCAAACACTGAGGAAGTGTGAACAGAGGAGAACAATGATGGTTCTCACAAGAAGCTTGAACCACAGCGTTGCCACGTCGACCCAACGGTCGCCTGGATGCACGCATGCTCGCTGGTTGGTAAAGTCTGCACTCATTTTATGGTTGTTAATTTACTGATAAGTGGTTTCTGCAAAAACAAGTCTCACACACACAAAAACACCCACAACAACAAAAAAAATCATAAAAACTTTCCTAATCTGCCTTTCAAAATGTTTTTTGCTCTACTACAGCCAGCTCACATTTCATATTAATAATTCTGCACATTTCTGAAAAGAATCCTGCAAACCAGTAATCTGGCACACCGTGGAATTTGCACATTTTGTGTTACCACAAACATTATGTTGATATTATACACACAGTATCTGTTGCAGTGAGTTATAACGATCTTTAACTCAACAAAACTTTATACATGGAACATTATTAAGATTGTTAATTTGATCACCTTCATTAAATCTCCTGTTTCTACATATTTATGGACTTTTATTATTGTGCTGCTATTTTCTTATCTTGTGACGTACATGCACGCTGAGATGACTACCATGTTAATAAAGTCATCCATCCATCCATCCATCCATCCATCCATCCATCCATCCATCCATCCATCCATCCATCCATCCATCCATCCATCCATCCATCCATCCATCCATCCATCCATCCATCCATC